CGGCATGCCAGTGCGACCGTACTCAGAGCATTGCCGATTCTTAAATCTCCAGCTCCCCTGGCCCAGGAGAAACCCCCCTGAGGAAGCTGTGGGTCTTCCCTGGGGCCCGACCCCCCTCGTTAGCATGGGCCATCAGGTGCGGGCCACATGAATGACTGGCCTTGCCCATCCCTCAGAGCACGCCTCTAAGGGACGGGGACAATGGCCAGCGGATCCTGAAGACACAGCTGGTCCTTGGGAGAACGTGCGGGACCCAGGGCAGTATTTTCAGTGCTGGTGGATAACGGTAAAGAGCCAATGAAGCATTTGTCCCCCTTTCCCTTCGTTATTGGATCAGGTTACCAAATATCGATGAGGGGAGTCCCTCCTAATAGAAGTGTGTCACTAATGTGTCACTAGTAAATAAAGAGGGAGCAGATTGGAATCCGGGAACCAGAACTGCTCCACTTGGCACAGCCTCGTGGAGTCAGGGATCCGGCAGCGCTGGTAGGTGATGGCTAACGAGACAACAGGGCGACCAGTGTGACCAGCCTCCTGAGGCGCCCCCGGGGGAAGCGGCCTGCCGACAGTGGCCCCTGGAGCTGCCCAGGCCCCCAGATCTGACTTGTGTGCCCCCCCCCCACAGTGGGATGCATTTTGTATGGCTGTGCGGCTCTCTGGGACAAAGGACCTGGTGTCTTCGGGAATGAATCATCGAAAAAGAGAGAAATAGAGGGGGAACCTAGAGATTAAAACAAATTTCAGAAACGTGTCAACAAATTGCAACCTATGAACACAGTTTGAATCCTGACTCAAACCAAGTAAAAAATTATGAGACAGGGAATCCAAACACTACCTGGATATTTGATGAGTCAAGTAATTTTGCTTTAATTTTTTTGATATTATTTATTTTTTGAGAAAGAGAGAGAGAGAGAGAGAGAGCAAGCAGGGGAGGGCAGAGAGAGAGGGAGACACAGAATCAGAAGCAGGCTCCAGGCCCTTAGCTGTCAGCACAGAGCCCAATGGGGGGCTTGAACTCATGAACCATGAGATCATGACCTGAGCCGAAGTCGGACGCTTAACTGACTGAGCCACCCAGGCGCCCCTACTTTCACATGTGTTTAAAATTTTCTCCCATAAGACACTTGTAAACTTTCCATGATGTTACCTGGGCGGATGAAGAAATGGTTATTCATTGCCACTCATTTCCAGATCAGCAGCTGAGGCTGGGGACACAGGAGACTGGAGTACAGGACAGGGGCCCTAGACCGCACATACCAGGCCCTGCCGTTAGAGAAGCAGCAGCTGCCTCCCCCCGGCCGGGCGCGGCAAACCCAGGGCCCCGGGAAGGAACGGCTGGGGAAATCCTGTCAGGGGAAAGAGGACACCCGAGTGGGGGCGACAGGAGGCCTGCTTGGCCCAGTCCTGGGTGCGCTTTGCTCAATGCCCTCCCAGTCCTGAAATGGGAGAGAAAAGCCTCTCTCTGAAACACGATGAAGATAATTTTAGGATAATAAACACAGCATCATGATATTAATGTAAAGAATGAGAATTGGAAATTACATCTACTTGGGTAATTTTCTTGACTTCTCTGAGTTCAAATTTTTTAATCTGTAAAATGAGACGGTTGGACAAGATCCATGGCTATCAATCTTTGTTCTAGTTAATATTGATCTATTTAATATCTGTATGTCAGTCTTTGCACCTCAAAAATACATTAAATATTTTAAAGTAATCACATTTCCTTGGGAAAAATATAATCATAAACCTACTTACCAAATTTAATTTGAAAGATGAGCTCCCATCTTGTGGACCAAGAAGGCTGGCTTTCTGGTGTGACACAGCCCCTGCACGCACGTTCATGGCTCCGCATTTATTATCGTCCTCTGTTTGGTGTGTGGCAGTCCCAGATTCTGGGATATGATTAAGTTGTTATTCGAAATGTTTAAATTTCTATCCCACGTCAATTCTATCGTTTTTTTAAGTTACAAAGTCCCAGGGTGAATGCTCTTAAATGGATTGTGAATCCCATCACAATTTCCGATTGCAAGAGGACAACGCCCGCGCCTGACTCTCACTCTGCCCTGAGCCATCGGCCTGGAGATTATCCTTGGAGAAGCCGTCCTGGGCGGCAAGGTAACGAAATCAGCCTTGTCTTCGGTGCGTGCTAGATTCCACATTCTCTTTTTGTGGCTGTGATTTTGCCAGAGCAGAGAGGAAATTCTGTCTTAAAAGTTCAGTCGTATTCAGCTCCTAGGTGTATGCGCAAAGGAATTGAAAGTAGGGACCAAACATACTTGCACACCAACGGTCGTAACTGCATCGAGTACAACAACCGGAAGGCAGAGGAGCTAAATTCACAACGGCTAAAAAGGGAAGCAACCCAGCGTCCACCAACAGAAGAGTGGATGAACTAAATGGGATACATCCATACGCTGGAAAATGACCAGCCTTAAAAACGAAGGAAATCCGAGGGCGCCTGGGTGGCCCAGTCGGTTGGGTGTCTGACTTCGGCTCAGGTCATGATCTCGAGGTTTGGGAGTTCGAGCCCTGTGTCCGGCTCTGTGCTGGCTGACAGCTTGGAGCCTGGAGCCTGCTTCAGATTCTGTGTCTTCCTCTCTCTCTGCCCCTCCTGTGCTCATGCTCTGTCTCTCTCTCTCTAAGAAATAAACATTAAAACAAATTTTCAAAACTGAAAAAAAAAAAAAATCTTGATACCTGTGACGCCGTAGGTGAACCCTGAGGACGTTATGCTGAGTGAAATACAACAGTCACAGAGGACAAATATTGCACAATCCCACTTGCATGAGGTCCTGGAGCTGTCAGATTTGTAGCAGCAGAGTAGAGAGGGAGCACCGGGGGGTGGAAGGGGATGGGAGTCAGTGTTTCACGGGGACAGAGTTTCAGTTTAGGAAGATGGAACGTTCTGGAGATGTGTGGTAGTGATGGCTGTGATCCACGTCAGTGTGGATGTACTTAATGCCACAGAACTGCACACTTTAAAATGGTTAAAATGAAGGGGAAGGCGCTTGGCTGGCTTAGTCGGAAGGGCGAGCAGCCCTTGATCTCGGGGTCCTGAGTTGGAGCCCCACGTTGGGTGCAGAGATCACTTAAGTAAATCAGTGTTTAAAAAATAAAATAAATAAAATGGTTAAAATGGTAAATTTCATGTTGTGGGTATTTTACCACTGTTAGAAAAACTCACGAATACAGAACCAGGTTAGGTTTAGTCCACTAGCCAGCCCCCAGCTCCTGCCTGGAGGCAAAGTCCTGAAGGAGAGAAGAGATTTTTTGGAAGGCGGAGTGGTCCGCATTAACTTCTGTTCGTAACACAAGGATACAAAGGCTCTCTCAAACTTGAAAGGAGTCGTGCTGTGACATTCAATAGCTTGTAGCTAAGGTTTGTCTTGCTTTTAAATGAGGTTGTCAGGGCAGGAGGAACTTCTGATAGAATCCCTTGTTGGGAAGGACACTCGGCTCCGGTTGTCTGCTGGTTGGGAACGTGTCGCTCCCTCTAGCAGGACCCTGGCTTACTTCGTGAACCGGTCAAGAGCATTTCCTACATTTTTCAGGGATGCAGAGGTGGGGGAGGCTCCGTGCACCTGAAAGAGGGCACCGCTGAGGAGAACCCACAGTCCCCAGGCTCTGTGGCAGACGACCTCATGCGCCCCAGGACAGGCACAAAACGGGGCTCGAGGGGCCGACGGGGGAGAACCGCGGGATGGACGGCGCACCTGCCGGTGGCCCCACGGAGGTCTGACTCGGGCAGAGAGGGAGCGGGTGGGAAGTCACGCCGGATCCGCCCAACAGTGGGAGCAAGGCCGGTCGCGGCGGTGGCACCTTTCTGGGCGAGGCCCCGGGAACCGGGAGGTGCCAGGTTCGAATGGGGCTTCTAGGACATCTTCTCCCCCGAAGCGCAGAACCACAGCTGAACGATGAAAAGCGTTTTCTTCGCGGTCCCCAAAGCCTCCGGGGGGTGGGGAACGGAGGCGGGCGCTGCTTCTTCCACGGCCGGAGGAAGGACTCCTTCACTCGGCCGTCGGCTTCTTTCCCTGCTCGTGCTGGACACAGACTATCACGGGAGAAAGGTACAGTTTTTCTTCTAGACCCTGACACTACTTGAAGGGAAAAAGCACATCAACACGAGGCACACGCAGCCACATCTCAACTTGTGAGCAAACAGCGTCCGGCACAGGGGTGGGGGAGGTGAGGCGACTGGAAAGACCACGCGGGCGGGCACGCGCGGCGGTTCTGGAAGGGCCTCCCACACTCTGGCCGGTTGTCCGATCCGTCTTTTCAAAACGGCCTTTGTGATAAAATGGGACTGAAGACTCGCGGCAGCTCGATGGGATGTCTGTCTGTTCCTCACCTGGATTCTGAGCCAGGAAGAAACCCCCCAACTACTCTCGAGTGTCTGAGAAGACAGTGACAGAGAGGGGGTGATGGAGTGCCCGCGGCAACCTGACTCAGCGCGTGTGGGCGCTTGGTGCGTGGTTCGAACCGTGACCGTGACTTGTCCACGTGGTCTTTTCTGTAGAACTTTAAAAAGCTACAGTAGGTCCAACCCATCGCGTCGCACTCTCTCTCCACGTGCCTGCTCCCAGCCAGGCACGGGGACCTCGGGTGGCTTCATGAGTGTGACAGATGAGGGTTCACGAACACACCACTGCTCCTTTGTCAGACCCCGCTGTGACCAGTGGGGGTGGAGGGGGAGTGGGGCAGTTCTGAAAATGACTCCCATGAAAGAAAAGGCTTCAGGCCTTGGGTGCCCGCGTGACTCCAAGGTGGCCCCGGGCCCTGCGCAGGCCTGGAGGTGTGGCTACATCTCACTTAGCCCCTGGGTTGAGAGGGCACCGTGGGCACCACGGCCCCTTCTCAGTCGCTGGCTTTCAAACCAGGGGCGCCTGGGTGGCTCAGTCAGTTGAGCGTCCGACTTCGGCTCAGGTCATGATCTCACAGCTCGTGAGTTCGAGCCCCGTGTCAGGCTCTGTGTTGACAGCTCAGAGCCTGGAGCTTGCTTCGGATTCTGTGTCTCCCTCTCTCTCTGCCCCTCTCCTGCTTGTTCTCTCTCTCTCTCTCTCTCTCTCTCTCTCTCAAGAATAAACATTTAAGAAAATTCAAACCAGGTGAATGTCTTTGTAGCAGAGCAGACACAGACACACAGGCCTCCAGCCCCACCAGCACCTCCATCTGGAAACCTCTGGAACTGACTAGAAATTGGCTCTGGAATCTTCTCTGGAGAGCTTGTGTATCAGGGTCTGAGTACCGTAAATGGCAGTGCTAGGATCCAGCTTGACAGCTTTGCCTGGTGCCAGACCCACGATCCTGGCCTTGTTCACGCTGCACAGACCAGATCTGTACCAGTGCCGTATTGCTGCCTGGCAAATTACCCCAACATCTAGTGACTTCAAACGATGAACATTTAGTATCTCGGTGTCTGCGAGTCAGAAATGTGGGAATGGCTTAGCCTGGTGGTTCTCCCTCAGGGTCTCGTAGGAGCTTGCAGTCAAGATGGTTCTCATCTGAAGGCTCAACCGTGGCTGGAGGGGCCATTTCCAAGATGCCACCCTCTTCTGCTTGTTGGCCAGAGGCCTCAGTTCTCTGTATTAACCGTATCTTTTATCCTCTGTGTTCTGATACTTTGACATCGGGGCCTCGTTACCCTGGAGGACTGCCCTCCCAGGGTTAGCCACTCCTCATTGACAGTGAACACTTGCCCACCTGTGAGCGCATTTCACAAATGCAAACCAACCAGTGTGGAGCCCATACCCCTATCACCTGCTCTACTGGGCCCTCACACTCTGGGTCACCACCCACCTACCCTAACCACCCTAGAGCAAGGTCCCAACAACTGGGGGCAGCTCCTACCTCTCAGAGCCCACCTATGTCACTCAAACCAGCCGATCCTAAGCCTATGCACCCTGCCTTGCCCACTCCTTCCTGCAGAAACCACAGTAAAAGCTCTCACCCCCACCCATCCCACACCTCTTGATTTGCTTTAGTGCTTCTCATGGGGCCCCCATGGCGTGTTGAGCCCCCTCCTCTTGGGATCTAGTACACTATCTTTTCACTTGACGGTTTTCTCCTGGTCTGTTGGCCTCACCACACCTGAATAATAAAGCCCGCTAGACCAGACACCCAGCCTGGTTCTTTCCATCCCTTGCAAACACTCATTGCGTGCTGTTGCAGACATTTCTGGTAGCTGGAGGACTCACCTGCTTAGATCTTGTTGGAGTTACAGCTGACTGCTGTGGGGTCTGGCTGCACACGGAGAGCTCTGAACAAGACCTGCGTGTTTCTGGACTTTCCTTCAGGCTCACTGCTGCTTAGAGCCTTGGCTGTTAAATGAACACCTTGTATCAGAAGAGATTTACTACTCTAACTGTATCTGTATCTCAATTTAATGAAAATGTTAAGGATACTTTGATGGTCTTGCGCCAGTGTAATTTTAAGTGAAATGTCTTCATTCTTTGGCAGCAGGGGCTGCCTCGATGTTCAACCATTGGAAAGTACTTAAGTGAAGTGCTCTTTACAATATTGTCTTTACAACATCGGCGTGTTTTACAGCATTTTTTTCCCAGAGTAAACAAAAAATTGTAATGGAAATATCTGAGGCAAAGCCTCATCAATGTTGCTAGAAATTAAACCCTGGCTGACTGCAGATTATGAAGCAATGTATCTTAGGGGTAAAACTCAGGATTTTGAAGTCACACGGTGACTATACAGCTGAACCCCAGCTGTGTGCAGACCAGCTGTGAACCGTGCCATTAGAGTCTCCAAGCCCCAGTTTCTGCACTTGTAAGACGTGGATGACAGCATTTACCTCGTAGGGTTGCTGTGAGAAGTACGTTCATAGAAGGATCCACATGGCACACGGTGTAATGCCTGACGGAGACTGAACGTTCGACAAATAATAGCTTTTACTTTCTGCTGCTGTGTTTATACACTCCAGCACTTAGTTATTTGTAGGTGACTTTGAACAGAAGTTTGTGTTTCTTTCCAAAACACAGTGCACTTGGAGATGTAATACTTTTGCTCAGCTTTGCCCGGACAAGGTGCTCGGCCAAGGCAATTTGGAGCATTCACGGTTGCAGCCTCCTGTTTCCCACATGGTGACGGGCTACCAAACACACTCTGAATTGTCTAACCTTTATAAATGACTAAAATGATGATGATGATGATGCATAAAAATAGTACCACTAAAACGTTAACGGTGTATTATCAGTACTTGGCCTTTTGATATTGCTTATTGTTAAACTTTCTTTTTTGTCCTACGGATTTAGTGAAATGCCCTTGGAGTACACATATTTAGTACTAACAATAGTCTACAATAACCAGGGTTGTTCAATATACTCGAATCACCAAAATACAGATCTCAAGAGCCATCTGGGCCAGGCCTGAGCGTCAGCCCCGGAGGCCTTTCACCAGCTTGGCTGGTGAAGTTGATGAAGTCACAGGACTCACCCAAAGTCACTCAGCTATGGATGGAGGGGGCTGGGATCCAAGCCAGTCGGGGCAGGCCCCCCTGTGGGCGGGGCCAGGACCCTAGTGGGTGGGGCTGGACCCAAGTCAGCTTCTGAACCACGCTTTACTACAAGAAAACATGTTAAATTCTATTTTCCTTTGAAAGCAGAAAGCGTGCCTGGATATTTGTGCACATCGTTTAACCCGTCAGTGAAAACACGAACGTTTTACTGAAGAACACTGCCATCTATGCAAGGCAACTGGAAGGCGTGAGATACAGGCCATTTTGCCTTGGGGGCAGTCCAGGTTTTAGCAGAAACAAATACATGAGCAATTCATAGTCCGTAATGTTAAAGAGCTTTCTGATAAAGAGAAGGAAAGGTAAATGCAGGTGAACGCAGAGCCCAGTTATGAAATCAGAAGCTTTGCTTCCCGCCCCGCTCGGCACAGGACCCGCCTCCCGTTCTGTGCGCCCCCGCCTGCTTCTGGCCCTACAGCCCCAGCCTCTTGTGCATTCACTTCCTGGTCACTACCTTTAAGGTACACAGTCACGGCTGATGACCAGACGCATGAGCCAGGGCTTCGGGGAGTGATTTTATGCCTAGAGCACGTGGCGTCGCACGGTAATCGCAGCTGATGGTGGGTTTGCCCAGGTGCAGATGTCATGTGTGATCGAGGGTCCTGGTGGGGACTTCCAGGCGGGGACATGGTAGGTGTGGAGGGACAGAGGCTGCAGGGTACCTCCAGAGGGAACTCTTCCATCCCAGGGCGGCCCTCCCAGTACCTTCAGCTCAGAATCTCCGGTGGATCCACCGTGGGACAGACGGAGACTTCCCTAGTCGACGGGCCACGGGCCAAAGCAGGACCCAAGGCCGCTGTGGCACAAACTCGAAAACTCCCAAGTCTCAGGGACACCGGTGCGGGAGACGCGGCTCAGGCGGAGAGAGACAAGGCACGGGAGAGAAAGGCCACCCGAGGCAGGCCGGCCCCGCCACAGATTTGTGACGTTTGCAAGAGGCCGGTGTCCTGAGTGCCGCTTTCCGAAAGGGACAGCGGGCCCAGGTCAAACTCCCATTCCTCCGGAGGTGCAGACAAAGGGCACAGTTCTGGTCTCCATGAGAACTGAGCACACCGGGCACGGATTCCAGAAGGCCGGCAGAGAGGAGGCCTGTGTTTGCGAACCTAAAACCTTAAGCTACCTGCGTGGGCGATGCCATCCACCCCTGCGGTGGTCCCCTGCACACTCTGGATTTTCTTTCATCTCCACAGGCCTTCTGGTTCCCCTTCTGACTTCTCTGAGCCAGGAGCCACTTAGAATGTGTTGTTGAAGTTCCACATATGTGGCTTTCCCAAATTTTCCCTGTCGAAGATTTCTTTTTTTTAACGTTTATTTTTGAGAGACAGAGAGAGACAGTGTGAGCAGGGGAGGTGCAGAGAGAGAGGGAGACACAGAATCCAAAGCAGGCTCCAGGCCCTGAGCTGTCAGCACAGAGCCCGACGTGGGGCTCGAACCCGTGAACCGCGAGATCGTGACCTGAGCCGAAGTTGGCTGCCCAACTGACTGAGCCCATCAGGCGCCCCTTCTCTGTTAAGGATTTCTAATTTCATTCCACTGTGGCCAGAGAACACATTTTGAATGATTTCTGCCCTTCTGAATGTACCAAGATTATGTTTATGGCTAGCAAATGGCCTGTCCAGAGAATGTTCCACGTGCACCAGAGAAAAACGCATGTTCTGCTGCTAACCACGGGCATTTTCTGTCAGTTTTTGCATACTTTAATTTCTTTGGACTTTACTCTTGCAAAGCAATTTAACTTTTGGACTTTACTTCCCCTAGAATATAATGGAAGGGGAGTGTATATTCAAATGTAGGGCATTTTATTGTTGCCATTAATGTCCAGGACTGCCCCGCCCCCCCTGCACAATTCATACGTTGATATCCTAACCCTCGCTGTGAAGCTGGTAAGAGGTGGCACCTTTGGGGGTGATTAAGTCAGGAGAGCTGAAACCTCATTGATAGGATTAGTGCCCTCAGAAAGGGGACACCACAGAGCCCCTCACCCTCCTGCTTTGGGGGAGCAAGAGAAGGTGCCATCCGTGAACCAGGAAGCAGTTCTTATCAGACATCAAACTGGCTGGGCATCCATCCTCCAGAACCACGAGAAACAAAGTTCTGTGGTTCGGAAGCCACGCAGTCTGTGGTATCTGTTACAGCAGCCTGACGTACGACAACAAAGCTTTTCCTGAGAAAGTTATCATTCAAATCATGATGTGCACAGAGAGTATATATATCTACATGTTAAAGAATGATCCCTAAGGGGGAGCCTGGGTGGCTCAGTCGGTTGAGCTTCTGACTTCAGCTGAGGTCGTGATCTCACTCACGGTTCCTGAGTCCAGGCCCCGCGTCGGGCTCTGTGCTGACAGTCTGGGACCTGCTTTGGATTCCGTGTTCCCCTCTCTCTCCGCACCAACCCTGCTTGTGCTCTGTCTCTCTATCTCTCAAAGGTGAATACACATTAATTTTTTTTTTTTTTAAAGAAAAGAATAACAGCTAAGGAAGCACCCCAGGGGACACCATGCAGGCTGAGAAATGTTGCCAGTATCTGGGAAGTTACTGACCATCTCTACTTCTGCAACAAGATTTTCTTTTTTTTTTTTTTTTTTTTTAGTTTATTTATTTGAGAGAGAGAGAGAGAGAGAGAGAGGGCATGCACCACACATGCTCATGCAAGCTGGGGAGAGGCAGAGAGAGGGAGAGAGAGAATACCAAGTAGGCTCTGCATTGTCGGCACAGAGCCCAATGCAGGGCTTGAACTCATGAACCCGGAGATCATGACCTGAGCCGAAATCAAGAGTCAGATGTTTAACCAACTGAGCCACCCAGGCGCCCCACCTCAACAAAATTTTCTGTGTATTTCTTTCTAGTTTTATTTGCTGGAATCTTTTCGTATTTTGTTAGTGGAAAATCTTGATGTGATCACTTCATTGCATGAGTTCTGGTTAATTCTGTGGACAATGTGGTTGGACGTTATTTGGAACGGTAAACAGAGAAAGGAGTGAATTTTCTGCCTTGGGTGCACAATGCCTTTGGTGTTAATGAATGCTCTCCTTGGACCCATTCCAGAGTCTCTGGGGCCAACATCTATGTGGCTCGGCAGCCCCAGGATGACCCCAAAGGAAAGGGCGGATATCCTCTGGGGACAGCAAGGAACTGACCCTATCGGACGTAAGCCTGCTGACCTGTAACTCAGCCACACCATATCACAGAAAGAACTCATCCCTGTGTGTGAGAATGCTCTTGCAGCAGAATCTGTAACAACAAAATGGCATCGACCTTGGCATCAAATAGTAGGGAGACAGCTGATAAATTATGGTCCATCCAGACAACGAAACCCTAAGTAGCCAATACAACTGATGTGGCAGATTTCTAAGTACTGCCATGGAAGATGTCCGTGCTGCATTTTGGTACCAAAACAAAAAAACAAAAACAAAAACAAAGCTGATGGGGGCTGAGGGGGTAATATGATCTCTTTCAAAAACAGAACAATGCTACACAGTGTGGCACACGGATTAATGGCCCTCCCCGCAAAGGTGTCCACGTCCTAATCCCAAGAACCTGTGAATATGTTACCTTACCTGGCAAAAGTGACTTTGCAGGTGTGGTTAGAGATCTCGAGACGGGGTGAGTATCCTGGATTATCTGAGTGGCCCAGCGTAATCACGGGCGTCCTTAGAGAGGGAGGGAGCACGGTCAGCCAGAGGAGATGAGAGGACAGAGCAGAGGTCAGGGTGATGGGCTTGCTGGATGGGGGCACCAGCCAAGGGTGTGGGCACCCCTGGGAGCTGGAAAAGGCAGGTAAATGGATTCTCCCCTGGAGCCTCCAGAAGGAACCAGCCCTGTAGACACTTTGATTTTGGCCCATCGAGACTTCTGACTTCCAGGACGGTGAGGTAATAAATTTGTGTTGTTTAAGCCACTAAGTCTTGGGTAGTTTGTTAGAGCAGTGACAGGAAACTAAGCCAGATGGAGTGTCTCAGAGGTAGGAGCAGGACAGTGTGGGGCAGATGGAAAGTTTCACTTATTCCTCTGCTTACGTTGGCACTGTTTTGATTTTCTTAAATAACTTACGTGTGACTATTCTAAATAATAAATCCTTACAATGAAAAGGAAACCGATGGGCACCAAACGTTTGAATTGTGAGGTTATCGAGACAGGAAAGTGTGCGCGAGGGGAGAAAGCTCCCAGTGGCTTCCTGGTGGAGGAGGTCTTTCTTTCTCTCCTTCTGCAGGCTGCAGAAGAGCTTCTGAAACAACGTGTGATTTTCCACTAGGATCTTCAGAAAAACTGCAAAGGGGCTCATAAGCCTCCAAAAACAATAGCTTGAAAATATATCACGTATGTTACGTTAGATTCATGTGGAGGAGACTAGAAGAAAGCAGAAATTGGGAGGAATACGTATCTTCCGATGGAGTATAAAACGCCCGGGGCTTTTTCAAACACCGGAAAACCTCGCTGATCGTTGTTTGTCATTCAAGAGTTTTATGTTTTCCGCCGTATTTAAGAATTCTATTTTGAGGGGCACCTGGGTGGCTCAGTCGGTTAAGCGTCCGACTTCAGCTCGGGTCATGATCTCGCGGTCCGTGAGTTTGAGCCCCACGTCGGGCTCTGTGCTGACAGCTTGGAGCCTGGAGCCTGCTTCGGATTCTGTGTCTCCCTCTCTCTCTGACCCTCCCCCATTCATGCTCTGTCTCTCTCGGTCTCAAAAATAAATAAACATTAAAAAAAATTAAAAAAAAAAAAAGAATTCTATTTTGAGATACAGATTCACAAGAAGTCGCAAAAATAGTACAGAGATGTCCTCTACACCCTTTACCCAATTTCCCATCATGCTTGTATCCTACCTAATTACAGGACAATGGCCAAACCAAGAGGCTGCTGACACTGGTGTGCTGTGTGCTCACGGCTCTGTGTCATCTTATCCCACGTGGATTCATGTGACCAGCACTGACCAAGACACAGAGCCCATCTGCCACCACAGACTCCCTCCTGCTGTCCCCGTGTAGTCCCACCCTCCTCACCTTTCCATCCCCAACCCTCACGGCTACTAACCTAGTCTCTGTCTGGCTCCACGATTTTGTCATTTTGCCAAACAGACGGAGTCATCCTTTATGCATGTGATCTCTGGGAGTGGCCTTTCCATCCAGCATCATCCCGAGAGCACCGGTGCCCTGTGAGTCAGTGGCTTCTTTCATCGCTGCTGAGTCACATCCGGGGTGTAGACGCGCCACACGTGGTTTGACCACCACCCTTTGGAGGATATTTTAGTTGTTTCTGGATTTGGTTGACACAAAAAGCTGCCGTGAACATTTATGTATAAATGTTATGCGGACATAAATTTTGATTTCCTGGGATAAATGTGCAGGAAGGCAAGCGCTGGGTGTGTACGGTAAGCATTTTCTTTTTTTTTTTTTTTTTTTTTTTAAAGAAATGATCGAGGTGCCCGGGTGGCTCAGCAGGTTGAGTGACCCGCTCTTGATTTTGGCTCAGGTCATGATCTCATGGTCATGAGATCGAGCCCTGGTCGGGCTCCATGCTGGGCATGGAGTCTGCTTGAGACTCTCTTTCTTTCTCTTTCCCTCTGCCACTGTCCCCCACTTGCACTCCCTCTAAGTTTAAAAATTAAACAAATAAATAAAATAAAAAAGCAACGACCGAACTCTTTCCTAGAATGCCTGTAACACTTTCCATATGGGAGGTTGGGCTTCTCCACCTCCCTGCCAGCATCCGGTGTTGTCAATATTTTGCACGTTAGCTGTGTAACAGTTACGTGATTTTAACCTACCTTTTTCCATTGTCTTTTGGTGATCATCAATTTTAATGCACAAATATTTGGGAGCCTATTATACAGCACTACACTAGGCCCCCAAGTGAGCTAACTGGCTCCTTAGCTCTCGAGGAGGTGCAGTCTAGAACAGAAAGTAGGACTGTTCACAAAGTGAACCAGAATCACGTTGTCTCAGGTGTCAGGTTTCAGGATCAGCACACACGGTGGGGAATCTTTCACAGTCCAGTTTATCCTTGAAAACTATTGTTAATTTTGGTAGGGTGATAATGATATAACGATGTCTTTGTCCCCCCCCCCCCCCCCGCTTTTTAAGAGATACATACTGACATATTTACAGATGAAATGATGTCTGGAGTTTGCTTCACAATAATGGGGAGGATGGTTAATGGATGGGGCATGAGTCACACAAGTGGCCATAAGGTGACGATCACTGAAGCTAGCTGATGGGTAACAAGACCTGATTATACCATTTTATACTCTGCAGTAGGCTTGAAATTTTCTACTTAAAAAAAAAGTATTTTGGGGGCACCTGGGTGGCTCAGTCGGTTGAGCATCCGGCTTCGGCTCAGGTCATGATCTCGTGGTCTGTGAGTTCGAGCCCCACGTCGGGCTCTGTGCCGGCAGCTCAGAGCCCGGAGCCTAGTGTGGATCCTGTGTCTGGGGGCCCCCCCCCCCCTCGCTCGTGCTCTCTTTCTCTGTCAAAAATAAATAAACATTAAAAAAAAATTTTTTTTAAGTATTTTTAAGAAATGTTTCAGGGGTGCTTGGGTGGCTCGGTGTGTTGAGCATCTGACTCTTGATTTTGGCTCAGGTCATGATCCCGGCATCGTGGGATTGAGCCCTGTGTCGGGCTCTGCGCGGAGTGTGGAGCCTGCCTGGGATTTTCTCTCTCTAAAAAAAAAAAAAAAAAAAATCTAAAAATCCTTGAAAATCTTTCAGAGGAATCACATCCTGCTAAGCTGTGTTTCCTTCCCTCCAGCGTGGGGTGGATGACTAATTCTCCAGCGGAGCACCAGGCGAAGTAGTTGGCTCGCACGATGGGCCACCTGACAAACCGCGGTGTTCCCGCCGCCAGTGGTAGGTGGAAGGTAAGACCAAATGAGGAACGGCAACGCGGGGTTTTGTTAAAGAGCACCCTCTTCCGTGCCCACGTTCTCAGCCAACTAGAAAATATGAAAAACACCCAGCAGGTGGAGGCCACACACCTTAATTCCCAGCGAAGATGACACTGGACAACCAGGCTTGGTGTTCACATCGGTTGGGCTTGTCTGCTCCTCACTCTTGGTCTAGACCTTGGAAGAATTTACCTGAGGCCAAACCTGAGAACTCTGGGAAGACACACTTAATGAGGGTGCATACTGATATCACCAATACTTTTAAATTTTTCTCCTCTGACAGGTCAAAAAAAAAAAAAAGCATGTTTTATTTACAAAGTCTGTAAAATTTCAAATTTGGTAAAAGAATATTTTTGATGAATCAAGGATCTCTTGATATATCACAGTAAGTGGTAGAGTGAACATTCTTCCGGTGGCTTTCAACGCTCCTAACTTAGAATAAAAACACACACTATATTGTGACCTCATTGATACAGTGTGTGCGCGCGTGTGGCAGGATTTTTCAAACTGCTATCGAAGCCCATTAGCGTGTCGAGAAACGTAGTTAGTGCTTTGTGGCCGGTGTTAAAAAAAAAAAAAGATCCACATTCCACACAGTAATGATAACCACTGGCTTGTAGATTTTCGGTTTCAGTCGTGTGTATAGGATTCGATTTACGTATAAGTATGTGTACATACATTTGCGAATGTGACAGGTGTATGCGTACGTACGTGTGGACACGGAACGTACGGGACATGTACTTGCACGTATGCGTATGAAGGACACGCGTGACCTTGGTCACAACCTGAAATGTGTGCACGCTGCGCGGGCATTAAGTATCTAATGAGGCCGTTTCTCTCGGTGTCACATCGGTCAAGTCCGGCCTCAGACCGAAAGCCACCAGCCCGCTTCCCGGCAAGGCGCACAAGCCACCCCCGAGTTCAGCCGCGGGGTGCGGGCGCCCACCGGTCCCCCGCACCTGTCCTGGGAGTGCTCGCGGCGTGGGACCCCTCAGCGCCTCTCGCGCGGCCCCGGCCCCCACCGCCCCTCCCCGCCCCGGCCCCGCCCCTCACCTACGCGCCCCGGCCGCAGGGCCAGGTCACCGCGGCACCTTCCCACGCTTCAGCGCGCCGGCGACGGGAGCGCGCACGCTGCCCGGCTCCGGAGAGCGCCGCGGCGTCGGCGGCGGGTGCGCGCACGC